GGAAGGAAGGAAACAAGCATTTATTAAGTACCTACCATGTGCCAGGGTCATATAGGTGGCACAGTAGATAGAGCATGGGGCCTGGAGTCAGCAAGACTCATCTTCCCGAATTCAAATCTGGCCTCAGGCACTAGCTCTGTGAACCTGAGCAAGTCACTTAACCCTGTTTGCCTCAGTTTCTCATCTGTAAAATAGGCTGGAGGAAGAAATGGCAAACCACTCTAGTGTCTTTGCCAAGAAAACCCCTAAATGGGGTCACAAAGAGTTGGACACAAGTGAACATGTGCCACGCACTAAAATAAGCAATTTACAAATATTATCTCATTTGATCCTCATAATACCCTGGAAGGTGGGTGCCATTACTATCCCCATTTAACAGCTGCAGAAACTGAGGTTCTTAGAGGCTAAATAAGTTGCCCAAGGTCACACAGCTAGTAAGTATCTGAAGCTGGATTTGAACTCAAGTCTTCCTGACTCTAGGTCCAGAGTTCTAGGTCCAGGAGAGCCACTTGATGTCTCTTGGCACAGCTACTGGGATAAGGAATAGCTAACAAAAATTGCTTAAAAAACTGGACAAAGATATGGAAGAAATTAGATTTAGACCAGTACCTATACCTTACACAAAGATAAGCTCCAAATGAGAATATGACCTAAATGCTTAAAGGTCACACCAAAAACAAATTAGAGAAACATGACAAAAATACCTATCACATCTCTGGATAGGAGAAAAGTTAATAACCAAAGAGGAATAAAGAGGATCAGAGAAGACAAAATGGATAGTTTTGGTTACATAAACTTAAAAAGGTTTTGCCCAAACAAATCAAATAAAGCTAAGATTAAAAGTGAAATAAATAACTGGAAAAAAATCTTTGCAACACATTTCTCTGATAAACATCTCATTTCCAAGTTATATAAGGAACTGATTCACATTTATAAGAAAAAAGAGCAATTCCCCAATTAATAAATGGTTTAAGTAAGTGAACAGATAGTTCTCAAGGGAAGAAACCCATGTGGCTATCTATAGTCACATGAAAAACATGCTCCATTATCATACTAATTACATCTCACACACACCAGAGTAACAAAGAAGATAAAAAAAGGAAAATTATAAATGTTGGAGGGGTTATGGTAAAGAAACAGATATACTGATGCACTGTTAGTGAAACTGTGAATAGGTACAATATAGAAACAAAAAGTTATTAATTAGTATGTGCCCTTTGATCCAGTTAGACCACCGCTGTACATATACCCAAAAGAAATCAGAAAAAGAAAAGGTCATCTTCGTACAAAAAAACATTAACAGCTCTTTTTGCGGTGGCAAAAAACTGGAAACTTAAGGAGTGTTAATTAAGGAATGGCTGATTAAGTCATGACATGAATATGATGAAGTATTACTGTGCTGTAAGAAAAGAAGAAACAAGGGTCAGGTAGGTGGCGCAGTAGATGGAGTACTGACCCTGGATTCAGGAGGACCTGAGTTCAAATCCGGCCTCATACACATAACACTTACTAGCTATGTGACCCTGGGCAAGTCACTTAACCTCATTGCCTAGCTGGAAAAAAAAAAAAGAAACGAAACAGATGACTTCAAAAAGACATACAAAGACTTACATGAATGTATTCATATACTGATGGAGAATGAAGCAGAACGAGTAGAACAATTTATAAGATCAATATTATATAAATAAACAATTTGGAGGACGTTTATAAACTGATGATGAATGAAATGATCAGAATCAGAATATAACACGGTAAAAATATGCAACTTTGAAAGCTGCAAGAGCTATGATAAATACAATGACCATTCATGATTTTAGAGGACTGATGATGAAATATACTATTCACTAAGAGAAATGATGGACTTACAGTATAGAATGAGGCTTACATATATTTTTACATAGCCACTGAGGGTATTTGTTTTGTTTGGTTATACAGATGTGTTACAAGAAATTTGTTTTTCTTTTCTTTTTCTAATAGGTTAAGAGGTGGAAGAGAGAGAAAAGATCTCTTTTAATTTTTTTAAATATAGATTGGAGGTTGCTACAGATATGAAATGTTGCATGAACTTTCAGATGAGATCACTGCATTACTAGTTTTACTTAACTGTTGTTTTGTTCTAAGAAACCTATCACTAAGTGTAAATAATCTTTAAATTTTTGTAATATAAAAACAAAACACATCAATAACACTTAAGAAAAGGAATGGGGGACTATGAATGTGGAAAATGGCATATCCTGTCAGACACATATGTGTTAGCTTTGCTGAACTATTTTTTTCTTCTTTCTTTCTTATTCTTTGTCACGAAGGATGTCTCACTAGGTAAGAGAGATGCAACAGATACATTCAGAAATGAATTATGAAGTAAAAACAAAAACATCAATAAAAATATAACATTTTTAAAAAACAAGTCAAAAAGTCATAAATGTAGAGTTGGAAAAAACCTCATAGGCTATTTTCAGTCATTTTTAGACTCATACAGTCTCTTCCTCCAATTGGTGAATTCTTCTATGAACCTGCATCTGAGAAAGTATCCATGCCAGCCACCATGTTCTCTTCAAAGCTGGATCAGTTAATGGCTCACCAGACCAACTCTAAATCTTGCCCCCCCCAATTAGTTCTTCTCTCCTCCCTGCTCCCTCCACCTCTGGCTTTTGAGCTCCCTTTTATATGTCTTCCTTCACTAGAATGAAAGATCCTTGGGGGCAGAGACTGTTTTTCTTTTTAACTGATTTATATTCCTGCACTTAGCACAATGCCTAGGACACAATAAACACTTAATAAAAGCTCACCTATCTATTCCAAACTGCTTATTTTACAGATGAGAAAACTGAGGTCCAGAGAGCCTGTCCCATTTGTCCAAGGTCACACAGGTAGTAAACAGTAGTGCTAAGATTCAAATCCAGGTCAAGGGTTGGAAAGGATCCCTGAGCCATCTGGTCCAACCTCCTCATAAATGAGTTGGAACAAGGTCATACGTACTGTGAACATCAGAGATGGTATTTAAATTCAGAGCCTCTGACTCCAAACTCAGTGGTCTTTCCATTCTGCTTTGCTGCCTCTCAACTGCCAGGTCATACTAGATTTTCTTATTTGACTGGCATTTCTAGACTCATAAATCAAGAGATTACTGTAGATATAACTTACCCAGATTTCAGCAAACAACTGGAAAGTTTCTCATGCTACTGTTGTTTTCCACATAGAGATATAAGCTAGATCGGGGCTTCTTAAACTTTTTCCATTCGACTCCCTTCTCAGTTTTGGCAGTTTTCCTTGGCATTCGTGCCCTGAGAGCATGCGAAATACAAAGTGCCCAAGCTTTGTGCTCAGAACCAAGGCTGCAGTGAAGTTGCATGATGCAACACAGGCAAGCACTGCCAGAAACACCTCGGATTCATTATGTGTTTGATTTTTAATTAATTTTGAGTCATTGTGCCTTCAGAAACCTTTTACAAACTTGCCAAATTTTTCTCGACCCCATATGGAGTCACGACCCATAGTTTAAAAAGTGTTGGACTAGATCATAATAGTTAGATGCATTCAGAAATGAATGAACAGTCAGATACAAAAGAATAACCATTAACCATTCACTGCCAATGTGGAAGGAGGTCTCCTGTCTTTAACCCTGGCTTCAACATTTTTATCAATGACTTATATAAAAGCAAAGATGGCAAGCTTATCAAATTTGGAAATGAATCAAAGCTCATTTATTCATTCATTCATTCATTCATTCATTCATTCATTCATTCATTCATTCATTC